TGCATAGCACATAGGTAGTTACTTTATGTTATTACCACTTTTATTATTGCACACATAATTTTGCCTGTCTGTATGACTGTATATATATCTCTTTCCTATTCCTCTTCCAGGAGGCAATAAGGACATTTCCTACACCATCTCCTCTGGCGATCCAGAAGGCTACTTCACTGTGGACATAGAGACAGGAGCTTTGCGCACCAGCCTCCCTCTGGATCATGAGGCTTGGCCCTCACTGGAGCTGGAGGTCCAGGCTCGCAGCGGCTCCCCTCCAGTGTTTGCCCAGACACTGGTCCGCATCACCATCACTGATGTCAATGATAACACACCCACCTTCCTGCCATCATCATCAGAGTCTCTGCTGCTGCCCGAGGCTACCAAGATGGGAACTATTGTCTACCGGGTAAAGGCTGAGGACCGCGATTCAGGAGCCAATGGGCAGTTGAGCTTCGATCTGCTTTCATCTGAAGGCCAACGCACATTTAGCGTGGACAGAAGCAGTGGTGAAATCCGCTTAATAGGAAGCCTTTCCTATGAGAGTGCTCCTCGTTACGACTTGCTGGTGCTGGCCAAGGACTGTGGCGCCCCTCAACTCAGCGCCACCTTCACTCTTGTAGTGCACATACAGGCCGAGAATGACCAGGGACCAGTGTTTGACACAATGACCTATCGTGTGGAGCTGAAGGAAAACACACCACTGAACACTCGTTTCCTGCAAGTACGTGCCCTGAGTAGGGATCATGGTGGAAATGGAGCCTCCTCCTCAAGTTCCACACCACTGTCCTACCATCTCCGCCCTGATGGAGATGCGGCAGGGTTTGGGATTGTCTCAGAGAGCGGGTGGTTGTTTGTGAAGAGTGCATTGGACAGGGAGGCCAAAGACATCTACATGCTCACTGTACTGGCCAGCTCAGGCAGGGGACAGCTGAAGAAAACTGGCAGCGCCACCGTACGGGTCTCTGTGACAGATGAAAATGATAACTCACCACGGTTTTCCCAGGAGAGGGTCTTCCTTGCAGTAAGAGAGAACCTGCCAGCAGGAACAGGATTTGGGAGAGTTTCAGCCACTGACCGTGATGCTGGACTCAACAGCCGGCTTACTTTCAAACTACTGCATACTGATCGGAACTTCCAGATCAACTCTCAAACTGGTGAGAAGAGAAATGCTTAAAACTCCTTAATTCATTCATTCAGTATCACTAAGCACTTTATTGTGGTCCCCGAGGATAGAATACACTCTGCATAGGATGCTAGTCCACCATAGGGCACCACGCACACACGCATTACTACCTACAGTAACAAATACACCTACTGCCATGGTTTTGGATGGTGGACCAGAGAACCAGAGAACTCTGAAGAACCAGAGAACTCTGAAGAAACCCACATAGATAAAAGGGGAACAAGTGTCTACACTCAGGTGACCCAAGCTCAGGGTAAATAAATCTCATTAATGTCCCTGATTAATATTCAGTTATTCATCTTAAACCTTATTATCCATGCAATTAGATTTTTTACAGTAAAAAAAAAAAGTGGTTACCGTAATTCTCTGACTATTGAGCGCACCTGAATATAAGCCGCACCCGCTAATTTTAAGAAGAAAACAATTTTGTACATATATAGGCCGCACTTCTCTATAAGCCACAGGTGTCCACGTTGTAACTGTCACGATTCGTGACGTAAACGAAGCAGGACGGATGCAAGTGCAGTTAGGACGAGAGCTTTTATTGAAACAGAGGAGAGCAGACTCAAGAGAAACAATAAACACAAAACATGACCAACTCAATGAACTAAGCTAACTAAACCAACTAACCTAAACATTAATTATGACATGAAACAAAGACTCTATATCTATACTCTATAAACCACTTCTACATCTATATTCATGTGCTATAAGCTAACTAGCCTTGACATGAACTCAGACATGGCTAGGAAACATGAACAAGAACTAAGGCACATGGCATGAACAAAGACTCTAACTATATTCGCTATCTAATTCTAACTCAATATCTAATTACCCGCGTTGTGCGTATCATGGCTCCCGGTATATACACACCAGCCAAACTGCTAACAGCTGCGGCAATACCAAAACACACGTGACTTGAAAACACATGACAAGACGGGGTGGAGACATGACGTCAACCAATATGCATTTCTTCGTGTGTTTTCCCTGATGAGGGGGTGTGCATGAAGCGCAAAACAACTGATCTGAAGAATGTAGTGTGAGCTTGTTAGATTTAATTCGAACAGTTTCATTGGTCCACTGTGACCTGTTGGGTAATTTCATTTGTTTGATGTGACAAGGCTAAATGTTTTGGCGGCATGAAACTCGTTAGCCCGTAAAAATCCATAAATTAGCCGCATCATTGTTTAAGCCGCAGTGTGAAAAAAGTAGCGGCTTATAGTCCGGAAATTACGTTAACTTTCCTGTTTTTATACCTCATTTTATTTTATTTGGTCAGGACGTTCCTGTGGCTAAGAACAGGTTATGTGACACTTACTAGCATCTCTTTCTAGCAGTTGAACTATGTGTAATCAACTTATCATTCAAAAGTCCCATTTGAGTATCCAGTTTATAGTCAAGACAACGTAGGCTGCTTTTATACAGTTTTTATGTTTGATACTATTAAGATTTCTACTCAGTTAGTTTATTTATACACAAAGCCTTTCTGAAGCATTTCTATTCATTCTTCTGATATTATTCCATACAGGATTTCGCAGGGTTTTTTGTGCTTTTTTTGAGCAAAACTACTGGAATCAGTGAAACTGCAATGCACGAAATTGTTTTGCATGGACTTTTTCAGTGATGTTTGTTGGTAAATGAGACCTTTTATCTATAGTCATGTTGCGATGGCCTCACATGACACATCTTGGCCCAACTCTGTGGAAAAATCTGTGGTACTTTTGAAAGATTAGAAGCTCCTCTGAAGTGGAGTTTGCGTTAATTTTTGTTACTGTAAAATTGTGAAATCCTGCAGGGACTGTCATATGTGTCTCACAGAGCAGATACACTTTTGAGTTCTTGTATACTTTTGCACTCTTGTTCTCTTGTAACAGCTTACCATTCCAATTAGTTTCTGTTACTGAATAAATTAAACGTAGTTACTAAAATAAATCAATTGTAGTTACAAAATGTTAATGGTAAGAAGGGGTTAACCAAGGTCTCAATCCAACAACACACAATTAATTCATGTCAAAACATTACCCCATCCACTCAGCTGCTTATTATTTGGCATGAATGTTTTCACATCTTTGTGAAACATAAATTTCAAATCACACACTCCCAATGTCTATACTTTCTTGTAAACTATGATTAAATCATAATATACAATGTTATCTGCTACATGTAGTATGGTAACGTGAACATTAATGATACCGATTACACCAACACGGGGAACCAAAACTAGCATGAATATGCTTGTCACGGCTGGCGAGTTGAGGCAGAAGCAATCGCAGATTTTTTAAACATTTATTTTAAACACACGAACAACGAAACAAAGACACTAGGACAACTGGGCATAATACTGTGGTAAGAAACAAAACACGGAGACAGAAGTGACGTGAGTCTATAACAACGAAAGACCCGGAAAGAGTGCAGACAAAGACTATATATACACACATCGGTGCTCATTAACAAAAACGTGAGTCAGGTGCATGTGGTCAGCTGTAACATTTTAACATTTAGAAGCTCCTCTGCAAATGAAAAGGCACTAAAATGTAATGTCTCTGGCATGCTCTCTCTCTCTCTCTCTCTCTCTCTCTCTCTCTCTCTCTGAGAGATCAGTACTAGGGCAGCTCTGGATCGTGAGCACCAGTCCAGCTACCAGCTGGTAGTGGTAGTACAGGATGGAGGCACTCCTCCTCGGAGTGCTACAGGCACCGCCCATGTCACTGTGCTGGATGAGAACGACAACGCCCCACTCTTCAGTCACGTATTGCCTGGCAAGGAGCTGATTATCCATGTGAGAGCCGCTGAGCTTATAGACATATGAAGAATAATTATATAGCCTGTCTTTAACAAACTGGCTGTTGAATGTCATGAGTGTTGAATATGGATGAGTAGTTGTATTATTTGGGGGTTGCTGTGAATAGAGAGTAGCATCTTTGCAGATACAGAAGCATACATGTTTGGTGGAGTCATGTGTGTTTTATTACCATTGGGTGTGTGGTGTTTCAGGTGCAGGAGGGTCTGCCTGCTGGATCACTCCTGGGAACACTGCAGGCTAAAGACCCAGATGAAGGAGAGAATGGCACGATATTCTACTCATTATCTGGTAAACCAGCAATGCTTCTTCAGTATGAGCTCTGTTTCTGGAATCAAAGGCTTTCCAGATGTAGCTGATTAACTGCATTTGCAAAATAGTCTAAAGGGTAGCACTCGAGTAGTGGAAAGTATAAAGCTATACAAATATAATACAGTGCCATGCATAAGTGTTCATCCCCTTGAACATTTCCATAGTTTGGAGTGTTATAACCTGGAACTGAAATGGATTTAATTGGGATTTTATGTTCATAAGGCTGAATTAGGAGGAAAAAATCTAGTATAGTTTGCAAAATTATTTTCAATTTAATTACAAATAAAAAAGTAAACAATAGTGATTGCATATGTATGTAATGATGGAACCATAATTCTGAGCGTTACTCTTGGGCTCTTGGTCACTTCTTTGTCACTGACTTTGTTGGACGACCTCCAGTGGAGTCATATTCTTTCTTTGTTTTAATAATAAATTTAATGGTACGCCACTGGATGTTCAAAGTTTGAGATATCCATCCATCCATCCATTTTCTATACCGCTTATCCTTCAGGGTCATGGGGAACCTGGAGCCTATCCCAGAAGGCATAGGGCACAAGGCGGGGTAGACCCTGAGCACGGTGCCAATCCATTGCACGTACACATTCAAACACCCATTCACACACTACAGACACTTTGGACATGCCAAATAGGCCTACCATGCATGTCTTTGGACTGGGTTGGAAACTGGAGTGCCCCTGCAAGCTCCACAAACACACAGGGCTGATGGAATCGAACCCCCAACCCTGGATGTTTGAAGCGAACGTGCTAACCACTAAACCACCGTGCAGCCCAAATTTTGAGTTATATTTATTATATACATATTATATCCATTATATATTATATATCATATTTTACAAAAAAAATTTGATAGCTCTTTCATAATGTTCATGAATATGCCATATTTAATAATTTCTTCTTTTGTATTTCAGGCTCCAGAGCAGAACGGTTCTCTCTAAATCCTAACACAGGAGAACTGCGTTCTGCTTCCACATTGAGAAGAGCTGAAAAGGCTGAGTACAGTTTAACTGTAACTGTGTCGGATCGTGGTGCACCACCTCAGAGCTTCTCCAGCATTTTGCGCATACAGGTCAGACCTTGGTGTGACAAAGTGGGATTAAAACTTGTGCTCACTCGTAATGTCGTAATAAATTAAAAGTCTAACACAACACAGTGCACTATCGGAGGAATTGCTTATCAACATTTTCAGCAAGAACACTGAAAATATAAAAATCTACCATATACTTACTCCTTCTGTAAGGAGATTATGAGAAAATGTATATAAAATTTGTTGTTTTTTTTTTTTTTTTTTTTTTTTTTAAAAAAAAAAGTTAAAAAAAAAAACTCAAAATTTTTTTTCCTTTCAGCACCAGATCCTGTAATTCAAACCCAAATGAGAGAGTGCAGTCAACCACAGAGTCTGGTGTGAATTGCACACGTGCGTCATTTGATATTCCATCAAGTACGCTATTTTTTTTCTTATATCTGCTCAGATGTGTGCAGATTCCACAGAATATGCTGAGCAGCAGTGTTTCTGGCAGGCAGTGAGCGTACATGAACCATAGTGCTTTTCTCATATCTAATTCCTATAAAGGGAATAGGATGCTAATTGTGGAGTGAGTGCTTGCCTGCGATATCCCCCCCCCCCCCAAAGAATGAGAGAAAGGGAGAGAAAAAAAGGAACCTTTAAATCAAGTGTTCCCAGATGGCCCATGATGGGGCCCAGCTGTGGACTGCTCTGATCAGACAAAAAGAGCCGCTAACCTCCAGCCCTCTCACACGGTAGCGCTCATAGACACACTCACACTAGATAAGGTTTCACCACAATAACATCAACATAATATTCCTTATAACAGTCAAGTAATAACAGGAGCATTGGTTCGTTCCAGTACATTGCATTTTAGAGAATGTTAAGTAACGCCGTTATAGACATTCCACAACTGCTCTGTTGCTCAGCAGTCCGAGAAGTCTGTTTGCTTTTTATGAGGATTTAAGTATGAAAGCTTTCACCTGTTATCATTAGAAATCATTTAAGTACGTTTCCAGGCTTGCTCAAAGGCAACAGGAAATGAGCACATGAGTGCTTTTATGTGGCAGATGGATTCATTGCACCTTAATTACAGCCTAATGTTGACAGTAAATGGAACATAGTGTTTTGAAATAAAATTATGGCGAGTAATTTGGTGACTAGTGCAATTTATTTGGTAAAATTGCAATCTACAGTGGGGGAAATAAGTATTGAACATTTTTTTTCAGTAAATATATTTCCAATGAGGCTATTCACATGAAATTTTCACCGGAAATCAGTATTAACTCAAGAAATCTGGAAGTATAAAGAATTCACAACATTTAAGTCCATAAATAAAGTTATATGTAATAAAGTGGAATGACACAGGAAAAAAGTATAAAAGTAAGTAACACGCTAAGAAAAAGCAGTTCTCCAAGGCAAGGTAAGGCAAGCAACTAGCTGAAATCCGTAAGTAATTATACCCCCTATATGTGCAAATTAATATCAGCTGGGTTAGTAAATTGATGTCTATAAAAAGGCTTTTCGTTACAAAAGTGTCACACAAGAAAAATTTCATGATGGGTAAAAGTAAAGAGTTCTGCAAATACCTTTGCAACCTTATTGTTGCAAAACATATAGATAAATCGGATCCAGACGTATTTCAAAACTTCTGAATCTTCCAGTAAGCACCATTGGGGCCATTATCCACAAGTGGAAGCAACATCACTCCGTCATCAACTGGCTACGCACAGGAGCTCCTTGCAAGAATTCTGACCAGGGAATCAGAAGAATAGTCAGAAAAGTAGCCCAAGAGCCAAGGACCACTCAGAAAGAGCTCCAGAAAAACTTGGAGGCAGCAGATGCCATTGTTACAGAGAAAACAATAGGCAATGCACTCCATTGCTCACGCTCACCCCACAAGACTCCATTACTAAAGAAAAGGCATGTCAAAGCTCATTTATAGTTTGCTACACCTAATTTGAACAAGCCTATGAAATACTGGGAGAGTGTAGTCTGGTCAAAATTGAACTTTTTGGCTGGCATACTACACACCATGTTTGGAGACGAAATGGCACTGCACATTGCCCATAAAACACTGTACCAACCATGAAGTTTGGTGGTGGAAGCATCATAGTGTGGGGCTGTTTTCCATCACATGGTACTGGCAGACTTCATATAATTGAAGGAAAGATGACTGGAGCCCTTTAGTGGGAGATTCTTGGGAAGAATCTGCTGCCATCCACCAGGATGATGAAGATGAGACGTGGGTTTACCTTTCAGCAGGACAACGATCCAAAGCATACTGTAAAGGAAACTCAATTGGTTTCAGAGAAAAAAATCAAGGTTTTAGAATGGCCCAGTCAATCACCTGACTTGAATCCAACTGAACAAGATTTAAAGACAATATGTTTAGAGGAATGGGCCAAAATCATACCTGAATACTGTGACCGATTAATTTCTTCATACAGGAAGCATCTTGAAACTGTCATTACAAACAAAGGCTTCTCCACTAAGTATTAGATACATTTCAGTTAGCGTATTCAATACTTTTATCCTATGTCATTCCTCTTTATTACACATAACTTCATTTATGGTCTTTAATGTTTTGATTTCTTTATATGTGCAGATTTCTCGCGTTAACACCAGAGTCTGGTGAAATTTTTATGTGAATAGCCTCATTGGAAATATATTTACTAAAAAAAAAAAAAACGCATTCAATATAATGTAATATTATATTATAATATAATGTATAATATAATATTAAATTATTTCCCCCACTTTATGACATTACAAGAGTCCTCTTGAACTATGGGTAATTTAATAAATACAGAAACCTCCTTAGAAAATGGAGTGTCCTTTTCTTGCATTGGTACACAGTAATAATAATAATTATAAGAGGAATAAGCATAAAGTCTCTCCCATATGAAATCCTAAAGAAGATTGTGAATTGATGACAAAAATGTAATTAAATCAGAATGTGCTTTATGATTCTATTTGAGAAGTAAAACTAAAGTGAGAAACGTGTTAGAACCTATTTTTCTCTAATTCTTGAATTTTTAATGCTACTGACCCAAGTTTTTGACTTAGGTAGAAATTTGTTTTCGCAACTCAGTGATGCAAGATAAGTTAAGATAAGATAACAAGCTAGATGATCAGCAACAATAATTAAAACAGATAATGGGCTATGATTGTGTGTCCTTAAATTGGTGAATGAACAGTATTTTAATTTCCAGTTTGTTTACAAACAGACATGTGTCTGTTGTCTTGTGTATCTTTTCACATTCACACACTGTTATAAATATGGCCATCTATATTAAATAGTTTTGTTTTCATCACAAGTAGACTGAATTATTTGTAGCACAATCCTGTATTTCTCCAGACAGGTCCATACAAGCTGATATACATAGACCTACAAGTCTTCTGCTCTGCTTAGAAATATTGAACATAGTTCCCGACAAATACAGTACTATAGTTTGCACAAATTAAGTGGAATTGGTTATGTGAAAATTGAAAATGCAATCTGTCACATTACAGTGCCACTTGGTGAAAAAACTAGCTCATGACTGCAACAGCTACATTATTTTGAATATAGCTCACTCCATATATACTGCTATGCTATTTAAATGTGAAGTTAAACCTGTAGTGTTGCTACTTGTAGCTAGCTACTCCTTAAAACTGGTAGCTAATCAGACCAGAGAGGGTAAATAAAATGAAAAATATATGAAAGTCTGTGAAAACTCTCTATTCTTACCTAATGTCTTTAGCCCTGTAGCTACTGTAGCTACACTTTGGTCCACTGAGCTGGCTTCAGGTAAATAATTTATGTAAACGCAAGTGCTTGGAGAATCCAGAACAGAGGATCTGCTACAGAAACTGAGCTCGTTTAGATCTATGTTTAGTAAATGATAGTCACTGATTTACACCCATTTATTTAATGTTTATCAGCTCTAATACTGTATTTTGATCCACTGAACTACTTTGCATGATCTGCATACAGACCACAGTCCTCCAGTTGATGACCCAATGTCTAGAGGAACCCTTAAAGGTTCTATGCAGGACCCTACACCATAATGTTTCCCTTTGAGAAAATCTTTGAACTCTTCTTGGTCAAAGAACCCTTGAGGAAACTATATTTTATATATTATTTATTATTATTTATATCTGTATATATTTGTATCACTATGATCCTTTGTAAGAGGAGAAAGATGGTAATACAGTACTTACCATCAATGACATGGTATGTTCTCGTTTTGACTCCAAATTGTCTTTGTTTCAATCCACAGGTTGCTGGCTCAGCGAAGGCTCCACAAAAACCTAACACCCTATCAATGACACTTAACACAGTGGAGGGCACCAAACCCGGCTCTCCCATAGGTTCAGTTTGCCTACATGACCAACGTGATGTGTTGCTTGATGGACAGGTGACTTTTCTTGTAGTAGGTGGCACTGATCAAGATGGCAATTTTATGGTGGATCGTCTCACTGGGGATGTGTATTTGGCCAGAGAATTGGACTATGAAATGGGAGCTCACTACACCTTGCAGATTGAGGTGGATGACTTCTCAAAAGCCTCCCCAAGCAGTCATGTTATACTGCTGGATATCAATGTGCAAGACAGTAATGATCATGCACCACAGTTCCCTGAAGATCCTGTGACCATTGTTGTCCCTGAGAACATGCAGCCAGGCTCCTCCATTTATGCGTTTCAGGCCTCTGATAAGGACGGAAGTGGCCCCAACAGTGAGGTACGCTACTCTATCCAGCATCATTGGCCTGATCG